ATCAGTAGTATTGGTTTTTGAAAAATCGGTAATTGGAACTGAACCAAAGTCAATTGATTGGTGTGATTTGTTGGTTTTTTAGCTTTTATAATATATATTATAAAAATATATAATAAAAAATTATAAATATATATATAATATTATATTTTAAATAATAAATAATATATAATATATTATAAATCTATAAATTTATATATATAATGCATATTTAATAATTTATAATATATAAAAAAAATATATATATAATATAATATACATAAATATAATATATATATATATATATATATAAATATATCGGTTGGTTATATATATAAGTTGGTTCAATTAACCACCGATTTTTTATATTAATTAACCAAAAGCGAACCAGTACATTTGATTTTTTAAAAACACCAAACCAACCGATTAACCAATTTTTTGATTCGATATCAGTTGATTTTTTTGATCGGTTCAATTTTCGGTTTTTTGCTCACCCCAATCTGACTGTCCCTGAGCGGCAGGGCCTGAATTTGAATCTGAGCCCAGGCGCCTTTTGCTCTGTGCTTGTGCTTGTGCTTGAAATTGTTTGTTTTTTAAGCAGCATTGCAGCAATAATAACTTTTTAAACGTGAAAAACGACAAAAAAGGGGGGAGAGAGATGAGCCAGCCTAACGGCCCTAACTAACATTTGGTCCATTGTCCCCACCATCATAACTCTGTGTGTAGACCACTTGTTTAATATTACACCAGCAATGGACTGAAATAGCAGCTAATCAGAAGCGCCTCGGGCCGTCGGACATGGACTTTGGGGCTCATAACATGTCACATGCATCCAAGTTAAAACATTAAATAGGGGTACATTTTTTAAATTACGCTTGTGGTTTATTTAATTGACTAACTCTATCTTTACTGTTTGTATATTGTCTTAAAATATCTTTATCGTTTTCCACAATTGACATTATCAACAAGTACTGATGGAAAAATAAATGAAATGTCAAAATTACCTTTCACTATTTTTCAAAATTTTAAAATAAAACTTGATGAGGGCGGATTTGGCCCTCCAATGACATTGTGACACCCGGAATAACATTGTGGTATCTCGGAACAACTGAATAACACCGGGAATCACTTGGGCAATAACCAACCTTAGCCAAGATGATGGTGACTTGGCACAGGCGCTGAACTGGTGACCTAGCGACCTCGACCACAATTCAGGGCTGACCTGCAGTACCTCATCACTAGCCGAAGTGACCTCGACGCAAGGAGCGACCTCCCTCGAGAGCATGCCGGCTTGATTGAGGTCCAGGTGGCGACCTGCGAGACGTGCTCGCCGACAAATCCGCCATGCCTATCCCAACACTCCCACGATCCTTGGAAGTTGACCCACGTACCGAATGTTCTGAAGGGCAATCAACATGCATGGCGGTTGCCTCCGGGAATCTCGGACCACTTAGACGACCTCTCGGAAATTTCGGATGCGGTGCACGAAACCCACGCCAAACAATGCCTATATAAAGGCACCAACCCCAATGGCATAGGGGGGCAAGTAAGCATATTCTAGCTCTCATACTTTATGATTTTTAGCTCGTAGTCTACTATGAGAGTATTGACTTAAGCATCGGAGCGACCTCGCCGGGTTAGCCACCCCGGGTCCTCTGACATTGATTCCTTGCAGGTCTCTAAAGAACTATGAAGCTCAACAATCAATCCAGCTCGCCACTGGTAAGCTCGACACCTAATACGCAGCTCGGCCCTCTGGTAAGCTCGGCACCTAATATGCAGTTCGGCCCTCTGGTCACCTTGGCACCTAATATGCAACTCGACCCTCTAGTCAACTCGGCACCTAAACTACTCCCATCTCGGCCTGGTTAGCTCGGCATCTTGGTCCTCACCCTGCAAAATTCTCCACTTCGGCCTCTGAGTCATCGGCCACTTGGAAGCAAATCGAACGACGGGGTACTTAGCACAAAAAATTGATACGTCACTAAAAATTGATTCATCAATTAGCGCCGTCTGTGGGAAACGCTACAAAAAGCTATGTTCTCATCTTCTGAAAGGCTAAGTCCTCTTCTTCCAGAAAGCTAAGTTCTCACCTTTTAGAAACTAAAGCTCTCACTTTCTAGTTTCCATTTTTTATGAACTCAAAGACTATGCAGGAAGTTGATGGCCAATAGACTAAGCAGTTCTGCTGACTTTATTTCAACTCGAACAAAGCCTCATCAGTCCTCTTCGTGAGGTACCCTCTACAAGATGAGCTCTTCATGACTTCTGTGGGAGTTGGCGGCCAACAGACTGCACAGACACCCCTGCCGATCGAGCCTTCCAAGGCTCTCGGGCAAGCTGGTGACCTAAAGTCAGTAGTGCTGCCCCCATAGGTCAAGCTCCCAGTAGCTTCTTGTAGCAGTGAGTGACCGGCGTCACTAACGAGGCTGATGCAGCGCAGTCGTAGCTCTAAAGTGCCGAGCTGATAAAAGACCTCGGCACCGCATAAGACCCAGTCACCTCTTCGGCATGGGAAAAATCAAGGAGAGTGGACTACGAGTCGCTCCTAGAGCCTAAGGGCTAAAGTGCCGAGCTGATAAAAGACCTCGACACCGCATAAGGCCCAGTTGCCTCTTCGGCATGGGCAAAATCAAGGAGAGTGGACTACGAGTCACTCCCTGAGCCTAAGGGTTAAAGTGCTGAACTGATAAAAGACCTCAACACCACATAAGACCTAGTTGCCTCTTCGGCATGGGCAAAATCAAGGGTAAGGGGAGTGGACTGCGAGTTGCTCCCAGAGCCTAAGGGCTAAAGTGCCGAGCTGATAAAAGACCTCGGCACCACATGAGACCCAACCGCTTATTTTGCATGAGCAAAATATAAAGCAGTTCGTATTCAACACGAGAAAAAAGGAAAGATTAGTTCGCTCTCAGCACCATGATGGATGCAAACTTGATTTCTTCACAACCGACCTCCACTTTGGTTGTTGGCTCCGCATCAAACTCACTGGCTAGGGCCAGCTCGAAGAACGCTACGTCGAAGTCTACCTAGGTGGAGCGACCTAATAAAGCAGTTACATAGAACCCCCTCTTAAGGACGCCATGATGAGCTTCACTCTTGAGGTACTTTGCCGGATCGCAGAACCTCTTGATGGTCACATCCCTAATAAGGTAGATGTCCTCGGGGTACCTGCTCCACCTCTCCTCGAGTAGATGAATTCACTCTCGGGCCTCGAAAATAAAGACGGCAAGGTCCTACACAAGGCTGGAAACGCTTGGATTCTTCCGATCTAAGAAGCAAATTGGATCGACGCTTACGATCTCGTTGAATTAGTCATTTTAGGCCAAAAGGAGCAATCTACTCCCTTCGCCGAGTTACTTTTAGCTCGGGAGTGGGGGCAATTGATGAGGGCGGATTTGGCCCTTCAATGACATTGTGACACGTGGTATCTCAAAACAACTGGGTGACACCCGGAACCATTTAGGCAACAACTTACCTTAGCCAAGATGATAGCGACCTGGTACAGGCGCCGACTTGGCGACCTCGACCACAATTCGGATCGGCAAGAAGCACCTCATCCAAGGCCGACCAGCAGCACCTCATCACTAGCCGAAGTGACCTCGACGCAAGGAGCGACCTCCCTCGAGGGCGTGCTGGCCTAATTGACATCCAGGTGGTGACCTGCGAGACGTGCTCGTCGACAAATCCAGCATGCCTATCCCAACACTCCCACGATCCTTGGAAATTGGCCTACGTACCGAACGTTCCGGAGGGCGGTCAACGTGCATAGCGGTTGCCTTCGGGAATCTCAGACCACTTAGATGACCTCTCGGAAATCTCGGATGCGGTGCGTGAAATCCACACCAAACAATGCCTATATAAAGGCATCAACCCCAATGGCATAGGGGGGGCAAGTAAGCATCGGAGCGACCTCGCCGGGTTAGCCACCTCGAGTCCTCTGACATTGATTCCTTGCAGATCTCTAAAGAACTACGAAGCTCAACAATCAATCTAGCTCGCCACTAGTCAGCTCGACACCTAATACGCAACTCGGCCCTCTGGTCAGCTCGGCCCTCTAGTCACCTTGGCACCTAATATGCAGCTTGGTCCTTTGGTCAGCTCGACACCTAAACTGCCCCCAGCTCGGCACCTAGTCCACTCCCAGCTCGGCTTGGTCAACTCGGCATCCAGGTCCTCATCCAACAAAATTCTCCACTTTGGCCTCTGAATCATCGGCCACTTGAAAGCAGACCGAATGATGAAGTACTTAGCACGAAAAATTGATACATCACCAAAAATTGATTCATCAAAACCCAAGTGATGAAAAGTTTGAGGAAGATGAGAAAGTAGCTCTGACAATGATGTTTTGGAGAGGTGGACATTGTAAATTCTAATCCACCTACACATCCATCTTCATTCACAGCAACGTGGGCACATGCTCTTCTCAGGCAAATGCCACCCGAATTGTCTTGGTTGACTGTTACTCAAAAAATATCTCAAAGAACACCAACAATTGCAGATTTAGTGGGATGAAATGAAATTGGGTAAGGGATGACGATGAACATTTCATAAAAAGAGTATTTTAAGAATTAAAAAAAAAATATCAATCACATAATGTCACTTTAATACAATAAGTAGTTTAAGAAATTTGCCCTTCAAATAAATACCAATAAAATCACATTGCTATAATCATCTGTGCAATTTCTGGCCAGGTGCCTGAATCGTTTAAACATTAGCCATGTGGCAAGTTATAGGGATGGAGGCCTCGGACAATACTCTGTCCCCAAATTAATGCCAACATACTGAATTCTCGCGCGCTTAGGTTCATAATCAGTCTTTCGTAATGGGCCTGATCCTCCTGTCAACATCACGAAACATTCTTTGTTTGTCGTATAGGCGATTAATTCAATTGACCTTAGGGTCAAGACATGACTATTGACTGTACAAGTAACGTTACTGTGTCTCTGTGATGGTAAGCGAATGATAAATGAATATATATATACTGCTTCCTGCTTACTGCATCAATCATTCTATGCGCACAACGCACAAGGCCAAGCAAGCGAAGCGAGAGTCTTCTCTCACTCCTTAAGTAGTGATCGGGGCATGGATTTACGGGATCGATATGCTCCTCCAGGAAAGCTGCGAAATTGGCTTAAATGGAAAAAGAAGGGAGAAAGCCGATTTCATACCATTAAAGATTCAGGTTAAACCAAATAAATTTCTAGCTAGATCTTTTTCCCCCACTTTTCTTGAGATCTTGTATATCTGATTTCGCTTTTGTATGCCGATGCCATTCGACACTTGGACTGTGATGCTCGTTTTCTTGTTAATTTGTAGATTGTGATGACGACGACGACGACAGTGATTACTCGGACGATAGTATTGTTAATTCCCTGGAGAAGGGATCTTGCGTCCAAACTACTGAGTTCAGGTGCGTAATTGTTTTTATTTGACTTCAATTTTAAACTTGGAGTTTCGCTTTCTGGGTTCTATCTATATGTAAATGGCGATTATTGTCTTTCAATGGCAGGGTCTTCGTGGGTACTTGGAATGTTGCAGGAAGGTCACCCGTAGGAAGTTTGGCCGTAGACTTGGACGACTGGTTGAATCTCAACGACCCAGCTGACATTTATGTTCTTGGGTATGGACGTCAGTGAACCCTGTTTTACATCGATCCTTGATTGCTGCCTGGTTAAGGATCGCAAATTAACGATTTGGTTGCAGCAGCTTCCAAGAGGTTGTCCCGTTGAAGGTCTGCAACGTGATCGGAGCAGAAGATGCGACGGTGGAAACAAAATGGAATTCGCTCATCGGGAAGACCCTCAACAACAAACTTGGGAGCCCTTGGTTGACGCCCATGCTGCATCCAATCTCCAGTGACAATTATTACTATGGACAAGTTTCAGGTTCAGAATCGAGGACAACCGACAGGGTCATCGGCGGAACGAGAACCCCAGTTAGAGACCGGCGGAGCAGTCTCCAGCAGGAGGAACCAGCAGATGGAGTCTCGTCGTCTACCAGTAAGTACAAGCTAATGGCAAGCAAGAAAATGGTCGGTGTGTTCATCAGTGTTTGGATGAGGGGGGATTTGGTGAAGAAGTATCGCGTCTCCAACGTAAAAGTTTGCTCAGTGGCTTGTGGAATTATGGGATATTTGGGAAACAAGGGATCGGTTTCGGTTAGCATGTCAATCGAAGGAACCAGCTTTTGCTTCATTGCTGCCCACCTAGCTTCCGGTGAGAAGAAAGGGGATGAAACCAGAAGGAATTATCAAGTTTCTGAGATCTTCAGACGAACCTCATTCCCTCGGCTTCATCATGATCGCAGTAGCTCACATCCTCTCACCATCTTAGGACATGAGTAAGTAATCATCCTCCCTCCCCTTCAGAAAGTACTGGTACATGAACCTTCATTGAGGTTTCTGATCATTTTAAGAAAACTGTACTAATAAGTTTCTTAAACAACAGTGGACCACTGCTATCACACAACTGCTGCATGTGATGCACCACATCAGGGCTTTTAGCACTCATCCATTTATTAATGAGATGTTTAATTCTTCCTTTTCATGACCCAAAACTGAGAGGGTTACAAAAGGCACATTGTAGCAAAGTTTTCAGCCTTTCAGCCCCACCCATCAATTGGGTCTCTCTCTCTCTATCTATCTATCTATCTAACAAGGCACATGGTCGTGGCTAACATGTCATAAGGAGTGAATCCATTAATGGATGGGACCATGGACATCAGTTTTCTGAAAAGAGAATAAATTAGATTATCCTCTCATGACAAAATTAATTTAATTAGTGTTCTAAATATCCTACCTATTTCACCCAACTGTGTCCTTACTTACCCAAAAAAAAAGAGACAAAGAAATTGTGATACAGTTAGGTGTTTGATAAGAAGATAATAATATCCGCCTCGTCAATCAAGGAGGAGAGGGGAAACAAAAACACTTTCGCACCATTCGTTATATACTTGTATAGAAAAGTGTGACCCTGTGAGATCGATCCATCCACGAGCTACTAAACTAAACAATGTAGTCTGGAAATGGTGTCTTCCATTACAGGAAAAGCTTTAGGACCCACATCGAGACTAAAGTCTATTCCAAGCTTATCACCAACTCACCAAAGTGCCCAAATTAACCAAACCTATTTTCTACAAATGGAGTATTGTAAGTGGGTATCTACCACCGGGGGAATCTGAAGTTGCAGAAGATCTCAACTCTCAAGGGAGGCTTCTTCTTCTGGGGGTACTATAAAGGTTGGCATTGGCCTGGACTATGGTGAGTGCCGGGTCTCTACAATTTTTCCAAACTAAGCTACTCCCAGTCTGGCCGTCCCACTTATGCTTTGGGCTCTGGTATCATGCAGGCCCAGGCGGCCGAGGTCCATGGTCTTCCAGTTCTCAACTGAGTTCACAACCTCATTCCTCACAGGGGAAGATGAACTGGAACTATCTTGTAACTGAAATATGTCTAACCTCACTGGGCCCTGAGATTGCTTTGATGTCTACCAGAGACCTCTCTCAGGTCTTAAACTGAAATCATGTTCAGAGAACTGAAGTATAAGATGAATTCTGATATACATGTTTTGGTGGAGCAGTCGGATATTCTGGTTGGGGGATCTCAACTACAGGTTGTGCTTGGAGGATCGGTTGGCGAGAGAACTGATAAAGAAGCAAGACTGGAGATCATTGCAAGAGTTTGATCAGCTTCGGAGGGAGCAAGAGGATGGCGGTGTGTTCCAAGGATGGAGGGAAGCAAACATAGAGTTTGCTCCCACCTACAAATACCCTTGTTCCAATTGTAATCGCTACTCAGGCGGTCTCCCCACTTTGACAGGAGAGAAGCAAAGAACTCCAGCATGGTAAGCCAATTAAGGTGCCGTTTGGCAAGGAGTTTTTGTATTAAGATTTTAACAGTCTAAAAACCGTTTGGTTAAGGTGCATCTTCCATGCGTTGATGCGATAAAAAAAGTTGAAAAGTTTCATTTATAATGTTTTATAAATAACCCAAAATAAACTTTAAATGTCTTTTTTGGGATGACAAAATCTTTTCTCAACCAAACAAGAAAAAGATCAAAATACAGAGCATAACTTAACTTCAATAGTGCCAAATAATATATGGGAGAGAAAGCACTATAGTGATGATATATATGGCTGAAGTCATCTGATCATGCTAATTGTTTATCTCTAAAAATAGGTAGGACCTACATTTAGATCCTCTTAATATTCAATGCATGGCTAGTTATGGCCTAGCATACTCCATCTTATGGTCCTGTGCCCCCACCCCAAAAAGAAAATATATAGGAAAAGAAAAGAAAAAGACAGGCAAATCAAAATGATGTAACAGATTGTGTGAGCAATGCTTTTGTGTGTGTGGTTTTCAACTAAAATTGTTTAGTTAAGTTGATTATTGGTATAACAAAGGTTCATTTGTGCAGGTGTGATCGGATCTTGTGGTATGGTAAAGGTGTAAGGCAACTCTTTTATCATCGAAGCGAAAGTAGATTTTCGGATCATAGACCTGTTTCTGCTCTCTTTTCCACTCAGATTGAAGTTGTTAAATCCATGAATCCCAAGTTCACCATGCCTTCCTTTCTCACCGAAACAGTAAGTGTGTTCATGTCCTCTTAAATTCTTAGTGGAGCCATAAGATAGTGTTTCCGAACCATAGTTGATCCAGATGGTCAGACCGTTAGGCTCGGGAATTGTTTAGGTCAATCGGTTCTATTTTATCCTTAACCCATTCTTTGACTAAAAACCATTGACTTAATCAGCGGTCCACTGATCCAGGTGATTGAACTGTTGACTTATTTGACCCGAACAACAATTTTCACCATTTTTTTTAAACTAAAACAAACCGTCAATTCGAACCAGATGGTCAAATTTCTGACCCAAAAACCAACGGCCAAAGTGGTTCCAGTTCCTTGTCGGATTTTAAAACATTGATTCAATGGGTAAATTGGATCCTGAAAGGCACCCCAACTGAGTATGAAATTGACAATTGGTAATCCGGTATTTATGGCAGGGGCAGGGCAAGGGCAAGGGCAGGACAACGCTGCTATCTTTGATGGCGAAAGACATAGAAGCACCACCACCTACGGCCACGAAAGACACCACACCATTCACATCCTAGGCATCATCTCTCGTTTAGAATAATACAGCTAATTCACTTGTTAATTGTTATATTACTTCTCAGTACTGTTGTGTCGAGAGAAGTAGAACCTTCTAAGTGGACGCCATTGTTGCTCTCTTTGTTGTACAAAGCTTATCTTTAGACACGGTTCAGGTTGTTGAATGTTGAAGAAACTTTCAGGATAGGTCTCGGCGGCCTGGCCCACTAAGACTAGGCTTTAGGTCCACCGACAAACTAAGGGCTGAAAATCGGGTTGATCAAATTGAAAAACTTTTAACTACATCGGCTCGGGTTAGGGTTTGGGCCCATTTAAAATTTAACAAATGCTCAACCCAATCCGATTCAAGTTGGACCCCAACTGCACCAGCAGATCATGAGGGGACACCTTAGATCCGAAACATCTTTTACTCTGACTGCTCTCAACTAGGATGGTGTTTGGTAAGAGGAATTGATTCCTTTAAACCACATTCCCCAGGAATCAGGAATCACCAACATTGAAGGATTTGGAGAATCATCTGTTTCTGGAAAAAATTGAAAATGAAAAAGGGTGTTATAATGCTAATGTGCAGCTGTCTACCTATTATTCATATATACCATTGGCATGGACATTGCCATGTTTGTCATATTCACTTCAAGAATCGCCCCTCTTCCTGGAAGCCATCTTCCTCGGCTTTGAAAATCACCATTAAACATGAAAGTGGTGAGATATTAATCCCTATATCGATTTGCTGATTTTTGAGCAAATACTTTCCTGATTTGTTGAACCAGCTGATGTGGATTGAAATCACTAAATCAATTCCTCTGACAAAATACAACCTAATAAGGGTCCATTTACCTCATGGGAATAAGGTTTTGGAATTAGAATTAGAATGGTTAATTGTTTGATTGCACAGAATCAGAATCCCATTTTCATTCTTGATTATGGCATTCTCCCATTTGATAGAATGGTCATTCCCTCCCTTTCTTTGAGAATTCCATTTCAACTGATTTTAATTCTTATTCTGATTCCTATCTAAACTATGGGAATAGATCATTCTGACTAGGAGGGGACTGCAAATCGTCCAAAAATCCTAAAAAAAAAAAACACTGAATTGAAAATTAATAATTCAACCTTACTTTTTATCCTCTTTGGTGATACTTGTCCTCAATTCCTGCCCTAATCCCTACATTAAGAAAGACATCAAGTTTTGTGCCATCACTTGGCAGCATATCTCTGCAATCTTTAATATTTGCAGAGTCTGGCAACGAGTCCACCACTTCCTTTTTTTATAAAGTAGTCTTTATGCTAATAATGGAGAACAAGGCTATTAGCTTTAGCTTATAAATTGTACTTGACTAGCAAACTTATCCACGGACTGGGTCGACCCTTTTTCAGGTTCCTAATTGGCTTTCCAGGCTCTCGGACACATGGCCTCCATACTATAACTATACTGGCAGAGAATGAAGGGAATCTAAGGACTAAGGCCCTTCTCAGAGAAAGAAATAAGAGAACACAAGATTTATAGAGTGACATATCATCTTGGAAATGTAAATGTGGAGATTGGAGAGAGCCCTTTGAAACCAAATCAGGGTCCGTTTGGTTTGCAGTTAGAATCGGAATCAAGATTCTTCATAATAGAAATTGTAGTTTATTTGGTTCAGACAAGAATGAGATTTCATTCCTAAAGGGAGGAGGGGCAGGGAACACAAACACACACTCACTGAACAAACCCAAAAAACAAAAGGAAAAAAAAAAAAAAAATCTTCTCCAATGTGTATAGATCTCAACAGCCCATAGTTCAGTAGCTGGTCAACTAAACCAAGATATATCATGTGATGCATGGAAAGTGGATTGCACATGGGGGGATGCACCGCCAGAGATGCCCCGCGGGCTGGGTTCCACCTTTACCGGCCATGGAGTCCTTTTGTTGTCGGCATTCCCTTCCTATGACTTGTGAGGAAGGTTCCTCCTCAGTCCTCACCTCTCACCCACTTAGCTTTGTATTTGGTTTGGCCTTCTTGTTATTGGATCTGGGCTTATATCCCTTTTGACGCCCAAGGGTCCAATAAAACGCCGATCATTTAGAGCCCAAATTAACCCCATAAGAATAAGTTCATACGTGCGATGATGCGTCTAGCTTGGAAGGATCTACCATCTTCTGGTTAAGTTGGGCGTTCAGAAAATTGTAGAGTGGAAATGGGAGAGTGACATCCTTCTCCCATTCTCACCACTGCTCTCCTCCAATTTGAATTGCTTTTCTTATTGCAAGTTTTAAAAACAAAAGAAAATAAAACCAACTGGTTTGAAAACATGGTTTTGGTTATATATGTGCCTTCTTCTGTTTCCAAAACTGAAACAAAAAATTGTAAGATTAGATGATCATTCAGCATCGCTTGGAGGCTGCAGGCTCTCCGGTTCCCTACCCATTAAATCTGGCTGCCATTTAAGGCTTGTGTATTTCTCTACGGTTAAATAATTATGGGCCGATGGTCAAGACCATTATTAGTTTATATCTTCACATGATTCCTCTTTTTTTAATCAATTTCAGAGCAACAGATAACAAGTACCAGATAAAAAGAAAGGAAAGGAAAACCTCTTCTTCTCTATGTACATTGCACCTCTTTCCCCTGTAAGGGCATCTGTCTGATATAAGATCACACGTAATTACAATCCCGAATTCTCCAACTTAATTGAATGCTTGCTTTTGTTTAGTTATTTTATGAATCAACCTGCTCTTTTAATTAACTATTAGGAAGACTGCTCCCCAAGCCAATTTTTCGCCCCACGTTCTCTGTCACAGGTGTCCCTCCCAGGTAAATTTTCAGCCTCACCATACCTCTTACTATCTTTAATTGATGAAATAACCATGGTGAGTCTCGCATTCTCACATACTGAGACCTCTAGCAAACTCAACCTCCACTCCATCTACGCAGATGATCTGGAAATTAACGGAGGAGAAAGAGAAACACATTAGGTTCTGGAGCATAGCAGCAACCATCAATACAAATTGCAAGAACGTAAGATCGGGTAAGCAGATCAATGCAGAGAGGCTGTTTGATTTGAACCCTGATCACCCAGGTCATAATGGAGCAACCCACCCTCACATGAAAGAGAAAAGATCAAGTACAAATAAAATGCATAAGCAAATAAATTGAGAGTACAATATTCCGATCCATTTTAAGAAGGCACCATTTGACCCATTTTCACAGAAGAGACCAAGTACATAAGGACATGGTCATAGGAATTCCTACCTAGGCTGGACATGGCTTCCCCTGTTCTTAAGCAATTGTATAATAAAAGTTTTCCAAAGTTGGACAATTTGTTAAATTTTAATAGTTTGATTATGTTTCGAGTACAGTCATTTCTCTGTATACTGAGATTAGAAGATTGAGCAAATCTGCATCTAGCCCCACCACACACCCAACGCATATTCACATTCAACAATGACAACAAAGAATCTAAGTTTCACAACCGACACTCACCTGCTGACTGCATCGGCTGGAAGTAACCCAGTGAGAAGGCCACTGCCATTGTGACCTTGCCTTCCCTCAAGAGCCTGAATTGCCGACTTTGTCATTCTGTTTGAATAGACCCTTGGACTCCCCGTGGAGTCATTATGAATCTCTGCCAATGGATTCACAACAAATCCACTGCCCCATTGGAGTCGGAATCTCCTGTTCTTCAGCATAAAAAGTTCAGCATTTCCATCATTATCGGTCATTTTTCTCATGGCAGCCAATGATGATGTGCCCCCCGAAGAAGAGAACCTTGACGTTGAACATCGGCTATCTGTTCTCTTCCAGAACCTGGAACTGAGAAATTCTGCACCAGGTAACATACAACATGTATTTCCTGCAGTGTCAGTCTTTGACATCCTTCCGGTTGATACAGCCAAGTCATAGGAAATCTCATCCAGTGCCATTTCTAGCCCATGTACACGTGTCTCCAGCGATCGCATCCCACTCTGTGAGCTCCCAATAAACTTCTAAACTCACGAAAGAAAGAGAAGGGATAAGTTAGCAGAGGATTCTCTAAAATTAAAGTACACTATTACTTCTGTTAGAAAATGCCTTAAAACACTGACAGGTTTTGGAATTGATTCTTCTATGGACGGACATAGAAACTTGATATGCAATTTCAATGTTGTATATTATTCATCAAAAAATTTTTCCAATGTTGTATATTAAGCATGCAAATAAAATATACTACAATGAAGCAGATTCACCTATAAATTTGACATTGATGAAGAATATGGCAGTGATATTCAAAGATTCCAAGTCATTGAAGCTTTTTTTTTTATGTATCCTTACTCCACTTTTTGGATGAAAGGATAGGAAGTTAATTAGCTACAACTCATGACAGAATACATTTTTCTGTTTCCATTGGAATAATTAAGGTTCCAAAACCCAACTAATTCGAGAGAGTAATGAAGATACAGAAGGTTTTTCATGGTTGAGTAAAAATTCTGGGTACATTGAGCATTTTTAACCACTAAATGATATTTGTAGCCAGACAGAACCCCAGGCACTGAACAAATCATATGTATGATTCAAATGGAAACAAAAGACCCGTGAGGGACTAACAAAAGAAAAATAAACATAATAATGCTTTTGGGATATATATATATATACCTGGAGAAGATCCAATAGACTGGATTGTTGGTTCTCAATCTGAACCAGCTGTTTTCGTATCAAACATAAGTCCTCATTATCTTTGTGGTTGCCATAGATATCCTCAGTTGTATTACTGACCACAATAGTAGATTCAGAACCCTCCTTGTCATGAAACGGGACAACACGAGACCCAGATCTTAACCCTCCAAACTTGTACATCTTGTCATCGAAATTCTTATTAAAGAGGGCTCTTTTGGTTCCGTGTCTGCTTTCATTTTCTTCCAGAACCTTTCCATCTCTTTGTTTAACATCGTCATCACAGAGAACAGTAAAAGGTTGAGAATGAGGAACAGCAATCTCAATTTTCCAATCAGATGGCTTCTTGCACTCCAGCTTACCATGTTTCGTGTCATTAGTCTCCAATGGACTCTTTTTTCTAACTTTCGTTTCGGGTGACTTATATGGTGACAATGGTGTGCTTTTGGAAATTGTTTTCTTCTTCAATTGCGGAGTCTCAAAGCCCAAGGAAACAGAGTTTATGGAGTAAGGAGGAAAACGCCCATCGCTGGCACTCTCTGTAAGTGTGACAAACCAGAATAAGATTTACATAGGTTTCGCCAGTGGATGACATGATGGCTTGAGAAATCTAAACCAGGAGAATAAAAAGACATTTATTGAAATCATCAAATTAAGCAAACGAATACAACCGAGGCAGGGAGTATCAGAAGCTGCAATTGAAGTCATAGACTGGTTGAACAATCTCTAACAAAGATTCGAGTAAGAAACACGCTTACTGACTCTGTAACAACTGACAAGATATGCATACAGAAAAATCTTTTCGAAAACAAGAAAAGTAAGCAAAGAACAACAACACTCTTACCTCTCGAAGAAGGTTTGGATTGGGATGGTGGCGACATTTCATCAGGAAGGCCAGGAACATCCTTCCAGGCTTCTAACATCCGATTCATTGTGTCCCGAACAGCCTTCACCTACGACAATATCAAAATGCAATTAGACCAGATATCATGAAACTCTAACAAAACGAGGAATCTCAATCGTGTCAATCTAAAAGAGTAACCTTTTTCAGACCTTATCGAACCTCCGAGCTTCAAAAGACGTAATACACGAAGACTTGAACTCCGACAACAGATTCCTCTCCACGATAGCCAACTTCACAAGCGTCTCCGCGGCGGCCTTCCTCGCCGCCCAATCTCCACTACTCAAGAAGTCAACCGCACAAGGTATCAAATTCAGCAAAACATTATGGCTGGAGGCACCACCGGCGCCAACAATGCTGCCAATGAGCGACAGCAGCGCTGGCTTCGCTTTGAAGCACTCAGCCCTCAGTAACTTCAAGAGCCTGGGCAGAAGCCTCTGCAGTTGCGCCGGGTCCGGATCGGGAGAAGCATCAATCGCGGAAGCAAGACAAAGCGCAGAACCGATCTGCGAATTGTAGTCCTGCTCAAGCAGCAGGGCCTCCGTTAACGGCTTCAAGAACACGGAGAAGGGAGGCTTAGTGATCTGTGAGGCCATCGCGGAGACCGCATCGATGCAAGCGAACCGGATGGCGGAATCAGGGTCTCTGAGGCGACGGACGATGTTGGCTAGCATTTTAGAGAGGAAAGGAGAGAGAGCGTCACCATGTGTCTCAGAGAGGAAACCTAGAAGACGGACGCATTGCTTACGGACAGGTGATTTCTCGGAAGAATCCGTATCGTAGATGCAAGTAAGGAACGGGGAGAAGGAGTCGTGATTCAGATTCCGAGCGATGGATTCGAGCTCGGAGGTAGCAATGGCATAAATGTCTCAGTCAGAGAGCTTGTTGAGGTAGGTAATGACACGATATTTGAGATCCTTAGTGGAAGCATTTTGGGGTGGAGTCGGGGATGACCGTTTCGGCTGAGCCATTGCCGGAGATGGAGAAAAATGGGCGTCAGAAACCCGCATTTGTGAGAGGTGGGCTCAGGTGGAGAGCAGTGGCGTAGCTAATATCTACGGCAACATTGCCGGGCTTCTTCGGCGTTCGTTCAGACGGTTAGTTGAGATGCTCGTCGGTTGCGTAGGTTCGTCTTTCGCTCTCCAGCTCCTTTTCTCTCTGCGTTTGTCCGTAGACTAGGGACGCTTTTAAACTACACATTTCTGTGCGAGTCAAGTGAGAGAGTTTACACCAAAATGTGAAAAAACACAAGAGAGAGAGAGAGAGAGAGAGAGAGAGAGAGAGAGAGAGAGGTGAAGGGCATAATTTCACTTCATTCGGAAGCAAGAAAGCAACGGCTGAAAATTCAATTCGAGTTTTTGGGGGCAGATTTGGGCACATCCCCAATGGCTGATGATATGATGCAGACAAACAAAAATGAAAAATTCATCGTTTCTAATAAAAGTGGAAATGTGAGGGTATTTTTGTCACTTTCAATTTTATTATTAGGGGTAGGGGTGTGCTCAAATCACTCCACCATTATTTTAATTTATTTTCTTTTTTCTTTTTTTTTAAGATTAACTAATAATTTTCTTGTCGGGGAGAGAGGGTTGGTAATACTAATGGGTAGTGGGTAGTAGTCATTTTAGTGAATGTAAGAAATCAATGGCGTATTTTTCTATTCTAATAATTTTGCCTTTTAATAAATGAAATGATAATTAGAAGACATAGAAAGGGAAAATTTTTAATAAAGGAAAAGATAGAAATATAATACATAAATGGCGAGCATGTGAAAGAAGATTATTAGATATAAGCTAGCAATAATCACAATGCAACAGACTACAGAGTCAAACTCACTCCCTCTCCCACTCGCTGGTAATGCTGTCTATAATATAATAGTAATACATACATGGACAATTGGGTTAAGAGTTTGGAGTTGGGATGGACCGACGGGATGATATGGTCCACACAGTTGGGTGGTTTGGTTGGTTGACATGGCCCATGGGCTATAGCCTAATATAAGTAACTTGAGTGGGTAACCCACTGTTTGTTGGATCATGCCATCAGGGATGGCGTGTCAAAGGCAATGAGACCATCTCTCCATCTGATGCATTGGCAATTTCTGACACCACCTGATCCAAATCCAAATGCTGTTATTGTGTTGGGATCGTATTCAGAATGAAATTGAACACCCTTTACCCTATCCAATGCTGTTTCTTTCGGTCCAACTCCTACCTAATCAACTCTCCCTCTACTTCCTACCAACATCCAATCCATTGATATTTTGAAATGATAGTTCCAAATCCAAGGAAATATATTCCATTTCTGAAAGGTATTTTTCGTCTTCCAATTAAATTAAACCCCATGGTTTGATTGTTTATAAAGGATAGTTGCAAGAGTTAACTATGATATATTCATTAATATTTATTACATGTTAAATCAAAGTTTTCATCAATCATGTTAAAAATATTATATGGTTTATTTATGTCATAGATTTTACTTAATTTCAAAATAAAATTAAAATTCCCATTTTATTATTGTGTAGAGATGTATCATTCCATTAAACTAATTCCAGTGATACATAGGGATGCAAACGGATTGGATTGGATTCGAATTAGGGTATATTCGAATCCGATCCAATACTATTCATGTCAGATCCAATCCAATCAGATCTGATAGGACTCTAACTGAATTTGAATCCTCTCAGATCTTCTGATCTGATTTGATCTAACTTGTATTCTTTAAAAATTATTAAAAAATAAAATATACTAATTAAATAAAGAAAGAACAAAAAAATATAAGTATTTTTTAATTATTTTTATCATATATACATGTTTTTTACAAAAAATAAAGAATATAATAAATTTATAAAAATATAATATAAATAATATACTTATAAATAAATAAATAACATATATATATATATATATATATGTATTATATATTTATAAATATATAACACATCGGATCGAATCTTTTCGGATCGGATAAGGGGTAATCCGAATACAATCCAATTTCTGATCGAAACATAGGATCTAATCAGGGGTGATCCAAATTCGACCAAATACATGATCCGATCCATTTGCACTCCTAGTGCGAGTCTATTTTCTGCCTTTTTAACTTGGGGAGGGGGAAAAGGAATAGGTGAGCTGGTGCAAGGATCTCTCCACCTCACTTTTGTTAATGGAGAAAAAAAGAAAAGAAAAAGAGAATAATTAATATTTATTAGTTTGACATCCCCTGATATTTTTATTTTAATTTTGAGAGGAAGAAAGTGACAGTGAATAAGTTAGAGTCACGTGAGGCAATGAAAAGCAGTTTTCCCAATTGGGTCGGGCCATGGGCTGTTGTTATCCCAATGGTTAAAGTTTTTTGTATCTTTAATCATCTTCTTCTTCTTCTTCTTATTTTCAGGTTGAAGGATTGCTTTGAAACTTGGAGGCCTACCGAAAATTCCAACGGATTCCGGTCAAAGTATGCATCAACTCAATCGGTACATGTATATAGGGCCAGTGCCCTTTTTTAATGAATATGGAGCCCAATGGCAGACTGTCGCTTAACAAAGAGAAAATGACTGGGCCACATGAGGACCAGTATTTCTTGACCCTCGGTCAATTGAGCCAAAGAGATTGGGCTGCCCAACCACATGGGCCATGGCAGCTCAGATGCGAGCCCAAAGGAATTTCATGTGTGATGTGTTGCCCCTCACAACTCTCTGCCCATGCTGATAACGAGCCACATATATCCACCCTCATTATCTTCTCTTTTGTCATCCATATCAGATCAGATCACATCAGAAGGTAAAGAATAAGAGAGTTTGGGACCTTGGTGGTTGAAGGGCTGACTTTGACTAGACGACAAACACTTGGCCCAATGGTAAGAGATTTTCCTTAAAAATTGCCCATTGACATCCTTCCACAACCACAAACACAAGGTTACGGAAATCTCTGTAATTGGACCAGCCAGGGAAGTCTACCCAAACCAATTTAACCAATGTTTAAAAAATTGACCCGGAACCAGAACTACTGCAGTTTGACCGCCTGATTTAAATAGATTGTCAGTTGCAATTTGAAAAACAAAAAATTAATTCAAGTAAAAAAAAAAAAGAAAACCAAAACCATTATTTGGTCATCTGGGTCAATGAACTGTTAATCAAGTCAACGGTTTTTTGACAAAAAGAATRATTTAAGGGTGAAATAGAAYCAGTTGCCTGAACAATTTTGAGGCGGAATGTTTTAATCATCTGAATCAATAATGGTTCAAAAACCATAATTTTAACTAACTGAGCCAGACCCTCAAACCATTTGAATCACCCAAATGCAACTTAGACATCATGGGTCAATGGATCAAGCCAATGCTCAGACCACTTAACCCATGATGAACCAAATTGGTACATAACCTAGCCTAGCCTAGCCTATATTGTTCAGTGAAGCGAGCTATATATGTTACAACTTTTGATAGCTTTTCAAGAGGCTAATGCTCATTTACACCTGAGTATGGGCGTGATTGCCAATCATGTCATTAAAGGGGAAAAAGTGTTTATGCATAGAAAATTCCCTGCATTGAGGGCCTTTTAAGGCATGGAAAATGAGGGGGTGGGGACGTAAATGGTTCCATCAGTCTCATGGGTCATAAAGCTTCAATGTGACAGATCTCAATATAATATAAGCTTTTGCCACATGGGTATCTGTATTTGTATGATTTCTTTTTCATTTAAAGTCCCACTTAATAATGTTTTTTCAGCTCATATATCCTTCTACGGAGAAACAAAAATACGTTTTCACAGTCCAAAAGACTCGTTTTCTACATGCCTTGCCAGGTGTACAGGTGAGGGATGAGATGGCAAAAGCTAACATATAATATATATAATGATACTGCATGCACCAATACTTTTGATAAATGCAAGCTAATTTAGGAAGTTTTCCGACGGGATCTCTTTCTCTCTCTGGGTTATTTTCATTTTTTTTTATATCGAGTTTCTTCCATCCCCCGTCACCTCTATCTAATCTTTTGGACAAGAATTTGAAATCTAAACAAATCTACAAGTGATTGATTCGTAGGATCTCCTTTTAATCATTGCTATTACTTATTAATATAAGACCAACGTTACAAATATGATAATATCATCAAGGCAGAGAGAGAGAGGTTTGCATATAAAGGATCGGCCCCCTCCACTGAGCGTCCTATCTAACAGACTGCCTGGCATCAAAAATTTAAAATGTGTATAAATTTTTACTCTTATAAAATCTGGGGGAGGGGTTTTGAAAATATGGTTGGTTTTGTTTTTGAAAACGAAAAACAACTGTTATAACTTGTATAAGGTTGTATTTAGTTTTGTTTTCATTTGTTTTTGAGATCACCACATCAGCAAAAAGGAAAACAAAATATGTTCTTGAACCCTGTTTTTGTTTTCCAAGGAAAAAATAAGTTGGTTTTGTTTCAAAAAACTATATATGTTTTTAGAATCAATAAAATATTAGTTTTTAAAACAAAAACAAATTTTCTACTATAAAAATTATATGATTTATGGAACATGATGTTGAATAATCAGATGAAAACATGCTTTTGAAACCAGATTCAAAAAAAAACACATATATTTTTTGTGTTTTTGTTTTAAGAAACAATCTGTTTTCAAACAAGATGATTTTGATTTATTTTTAAAACTAGCAACCAAGGTTCAAAATATCGTTACAGATCGGCCGATACGTATCGTTCGAGGACCCTTCTGATACTCCCCTACAGTGGGTATATCGGGGTCTGACCGGTTCAAGGGATGAAAGGGTCCTAAACCAACTCCCCTGAACCAATTTTGAAAAATAAAATAAAAAATAAAATAAAAAACAGGTATCAAAACGCCCGATACACCCCACTAAGTTTCATTTAGACTTTTATAAAAACAAATTTCATTTGGCTGGACCTCTCACTCTCAATTATTCGAAAATAACTCCATCGACCAAATGTAATGGACAAGATTTACAAGATTAACGTGGGGTCATAGTTCAGTCATAAGTCATAAATAAGATCAAACAACCAACCAGTCCCACTACTACCTACGTGACTTGTGGAGATTAATAAGTTAGCCAGTGACTAGCCCATATTGGACAAACGAAACATGCCCATTTTATTACAACCTGTAAAACCATGTAACCAACCAAGCAGTGATTTATTAGGTTGTGTTTGTTTTATCAGAAAAGAATAGAGAAACAGAAGTTGAGGGAAAGTTCTTAAAATTTTTCATAAAATTCCTTGATAATTTCCACCAATTTTCTGCTTCTCACCTCTTATGATAATTAATAGAAAGGAAATATCATAAATGAAAACCACAAACTGCCCATCTTACTGTT